TGCTGAAACCTTTCTATCATGGGTGACCTTACTGGTATTTACAATACCAGTGGCATAGCTGCTAGCTGCACAGCACTACATTAGCTAGAACAGTGTGACAAACTGGCAGACAAGATCACAGTTTGACAAACTAATAAAGGAGTGGTAATTGGAATACTGGTGTGGTGCTGTAGGTTAATGCATTGCACTCCAAAGTTGGTTTGAACTGCAAGGTTGGTGGTTCAAGCTCACCAGCCGCTCCTTGGAAACACTGTACAGGATCGCTATGGGTCAGAACCAACTCGGTGGCACTTAACAACAATAACAACGTCCAAAATAATTATTGCCTTAGAAATTCTACTGGGCAGTTCTATTAGTTCTATAGAATTACTAAGTGGAAACATCAGATATACAAATTATTATTTTAGAATAGAAATGCTGCCTTGTCATAGTAGGAGAACGTGTGTGTTTGTCTGTGTGTGTGTGTTTCAGAAATAGAAATATTCAGGTTCAGATTTAGCAATAGCTTCTTAAAAACAAGAACCTGTTTAAATCCAAAATACTGTGAAGTGTTTTGAAATAGAACCATTGTGTATAACAGTTTTCACTTGGAAATCACATTTGAATTATAAGTTTTCATCCCAAACTCTCCAAAATACATTTCCTGCCCGTACATAGTAATTAGGAACCCCATACCCATGCCTCCTGGGCAGAACAATGAGAACCAGGCAAATTATAGAATTGTAGGTAACATTGGCATCAAGGAACCAGGTACTCACTATAGATCCTACATCTTGAAGAGAGTAGACAGTCTTCATTTTATAACAGTATATTTTTCAATAAAGATGATTCAAAAAACAAACTCAATGATGTAAATATTTTATTTTCAACTTGTCATCAAAATAATTTCATAATTTTAGAAAAATAAAATTTCAATTTTATGTTCTAAAAATACTGTTGTCATACCTATATGGCTAAATCTTTGCTACTGCTGTTGAAGGGAGAAGTAGTTATTTGGAGAAAAATAAAATAGAAAAGAATAAGAGAGCCTTATTAATTTCCAGAATGTAGATACACACACTCTTACCTCTAGGCTCCAGACTTGGTCCCTGGAGCATCCCAGCAAGGCAGCTTACTTTGTCCTCAAGGACATAGTGTTGGTATTCTTTGTGAATGTGTTTCAGCTGTATTTTCTATGGATATTTAAATGAATCGAAATCCCAAACTCATTACCAATATATAGCCACCAGAATTAAAATTCTTCCTCATTTTACTCTTCCCCACTACTAAAACAGTTTCTTTAAAAAAAAGTGTGTGAGAGAGAGAGAGACTTGGGTTTTTATGTTTTCTGCCTAGGGATTGAATCCTCTCTGGACTGTTCTAAGGAAGATCCCTGGTGACACAGTGGCTATGCACTGGACTGCTAACCAAAAGGTCTGCAGCTTGAACCCACCAGCCACTCAATGGGAGAAAGATATGGCAGTGTGCTTCCATAAAGATTTACAGACTTGGAAAACACTATGATATTGTTATTTTGTGCCATTGAGTCAACTCATAGTGACCCTGTATAGGATTTCCAAGGAGTGGTTGGTGGGTTCGAATCCAATCTTACAGTTAGCAATCCAGTGCTTATCCCACAGTGCCATACTAGAAAACCCTATGGGGCAGTTCTGTCCTATAGGGTTGCTATGAGTCAAAATCAACTGGACAGTAGTGGGTTTGGTTTGGGGGTTTAGAGTGCTGTAAGAGAGAATGTTTAGATCCATGGAGAATTTTTATTAGACCTAGCTGGAATCCTCCTATAATGGTGAGACGCATGTGAAGAAAGGCTGTTCATGAACTAGGCTAACCACAGGTAGTTTCATTGTGCTGCCCATTTATCTCATATCTTTCAATTCACAGGCAAGTTTTTTTCTACCTCTGCCTTCCTCTGGTTCAATGCAGTGATCTGTTTTAGAGTTTGCAGTTCATTATTTTAGATCAAGGAAAATCTCCAGTATTTTTTTTTTTCTCATTCCTTTCTGAAATGATGTTCATCTGGCTTTTAGCTTTCCCAAAAGTACCCTCATTCTTGATGTTAAATGCAGCCTATCTCTAAGCCTAGAGCAGGTGGCGACATCACAATTGTGCTAATTGCAATCAGGTACGAAGATGATGGTGGATTTGGGACTGATACAGGCAGGTGGGCTGATATGACACCTCTTGCTGGCCAGGAGTCCCTTCCCTCATTTGACCTTCAGAGTCTTTCTAGGACTTAAGCCATTTCTCTGGGCCCAATTGTATGTATTTTCTTCCCTCCAGAAGCAAAGGTATAAAACAAAAATAAAAATATGGAATGTAACCATCACAGGCACTATATTTACTTTAGATTTCAATAAATAGATGACTAATGTTAGAAAGGATAGTTTATCAGGGAACATGCAGTGCTGGTACAAATGATAAATGCCTCCACATATATTCAATCAAGATGATGAATCAGGAACTATTTCATTACAAGTTAGGCCTAATGTTTGTAGTTAAGTGGTGCATGTTTTGTTTATATTTTTCCCTGTTTTCATTTCAGTTTTAAACAAATTAAATTAGACTCAATAGATTGACCACTTTCCTAATGCTCCTATGTAGGTTTTTCATTGAGATAATTGCTTTTAAAATGCCCTTTCAAGCAACTAACCTTGGTGCATGACTGTTTAAAGGGAGCAATAAAAAAATACTTTTGTACAGCAATTTTTAGGACTTCTCTTGCATAGCAGGTAAATATGACTGAGAAATTTGCATGATGAAAATGGATTTAATTAGATTAATTTAATTAGGCTTGATGAGGTAGAGCCAAATTCAGGATAGATGATATTTTAAGCCAATGAAATTAGGCTCTTGTATTTTTGTATTTGCAAAATGGAGCTTCTCAGAACATGTGGAAGAGTCTTGAAATTCACACATACCTCACACTCTGTCGCTTAGTGCATGAGCACACACACACACCCCTTACATACCACACATGCACAGTGAAATGGAAAGAGCAGGGACCCTGCAGCTGGAATGTCCTCCTTGTTCGTTCTTCCTTCTTCAGTTACTAATTCTGGTTGATAAAGGGCATATTTGGCCAAGTTTGCCCCAGCCTTTCCTAGTCTTACCCTTTACTTCCAAAAACTCAAAGGAGTATCCTAATGGAAAGTGTTGTCATTTTGAATTTTCCCATTTTGGGGACAAATGTAATTGAGCTTCCTCCTGATTCTCTTTGTTTCCATTCTATAAAGGATAATAAAGTCACCCATTTTCTGATCCAGAACCCAACTTGTTTTCCCAGGTTCCCTCCTACAACCAACACAAACACAGACATTTACCAGCAAAACAGAAGCTGTTGGAGAGAATTTTTGGCTGCTGAAATGGGCTCTTGTCACCAGGACATGGCAGGCTTTTTGCTGTATTGTCTCCCAGCTCTGGCCCCGGTACTCCAAAGAGAGCTTTATGTAATCAGTCTTTCCTGACATGTGACGTCCTGTCATTTTCCTCCCCTTCGGCTCTGCTGCCGCCCACAAATCAATAACATTGCCTGGGAAGTTCAAGCTGGTTTTGCAGCCACCCCAAGCTCTGTGTTTCTTAAAGGGTATGTCAGAAAATGTAAAGTTTCCTAATGATATTTCTGGCTGATGACACATGGCAGAGCTGATGGACTATTTATAATCAGTGGCACGATCGCAAGCACATTATTTTTATTTCACTTAGGGGGGGAGCCCTGTCACTTGCAACCTCTCTTTGCAGACAAGTTGATGCCATCTCCACCTAAAGTAGCTAAATCCTCTTTGCAGAAAGTGTTTGCACTCTCCCCTTTGTGTTAGGAGCTCCCCAATTCCCATAGAAACCTTTTGTTTGGGGAATTTTTAAAAATTGTTCTTTGGGTAGGGGGACAATGAGGGCATGGAATGATTTGTAACAATTTTTTAAAATTCTGGCCTTGCCCACATCCTTCACTAGAACAGTCTCCATTCTGCTGCTCAGATCCTGCAGCATCCCTATGCATGTGGGTGTGGCTGGCAAGACTGAGGCAACAGACACAGCTACTCTGTCCAGCACTGGCCCCAATTTTAATCCTGAACGTAACTTGTTGTTGTTCTTGTTGTCAAGTGCCATCGAGTTGCTACCACCTCACAACTTTGCTATCTTTTATTGAGCACCTACTATGTTCTGGGCACCATAGACACCTCATAAACAATATATCGTTTTACCCTTTTGAATGTCCAGAGTCGAGATGTAGGAGAAAACCAGGAGATTAAATGACTTCTCTCCAAATTCATACAGCTGGTAGAGAAAGCCCCAGGCCTCCAGTTCAAGTCCGTGTTAACAAGCCAGAACCTGCTCTTTCCACTACCCTGTCCTTCCTTATCCTATGTACATACTACTTGGCATCTGGTGTGGCTGTGCAAATGCACATACAGTTCCCAATTCAGGTAGCTCCTGTGAGTTTAGAGGCAGGCCAGAGAGAAAGAGACAGAAAATTTTGAAAACTCTCATCCTGGGGGTAATACCAAAATACACTAGAAGATTCTCTGTATATAACATATAAATACCTGCTCCTCACTTATCAACTATCTAGTTATCCAGCATTTCACATATGCAACAATGGTTAAAAAACCAAAATCTTCTATCTGACCATTTTGCTCACTAATGATGCACAGTATCTGGCAATTACAAATACTGAGGTACAAGGTGAGAGTAAGGCTGGCTGTGATCGTTAAAGTTACGTGTCAACTTGGCCGGTCCATGATACTCAATGATTTAGCAGTTATGTAATGATACAATTTGGCAGTTAGGTACTGATGTAGTTAGTCATCCTCAATTTTGTGATCTGTTGTGATCATCCTCCACTTGGCCAGATCTTTGAAACCTAACCATGTTGATAAGTGAGGAATTGGCTTATACTAGAAGGAAATTTTGCATCTCTGCAATGGAAAGTGTTGTCTCTTGAAAAGATACTGAGTTTTGTTTTGTTCTATTTTTTTCTCTCTCTTAATATGTTTCCACAGGACAGAGTTTAGGGTATGGATTTGTTAACTATATTGATCCAAAGGATGCAGAGAAAGCCATCAACACTTTAAATGGACTCAGACTCCAGACCAAAACCATAAAGGTAAGAGGTGATGTGCTGGCTTCTGATTTGGGAGGCAAATTTCATCCCTTTGATATAATAAAGCCTGGCTATGCTAGAGCAGAAGTGGTGCTCTGTATTTGGTCAAAGAACACTTACCAGCCATCTGTGCTAAGTGCAGGACATTGGCCAGAACAGAAAAATGAGATTATAGCTGAATTGAAGGAAAGGACCTCCAATCCAGTGGGAAGATGGGTATCAAGGATGACTACCCTACCCAGAGACTGTGAACCTACATTTGCAAAGACAGCCAGCACTGAGCCAGGAAAAGAAGCTGAGGCAAGGAAGCAACTTTAGGCACAGGGAACAGCACATGCAAAACTGTGAACATGTAAGAAAACATGACAAGATAAGGGGAAGCATATACATTCATGTGGCCTAATTTTGAATGGGGAAGTAATATAAAATGAGGCCGTGGAAGTGGGCAGGGGCTAGGTCTTATGTACCAGCTTGGCAAGCTTGGCTTTTACTTAAGGGTAGAAAGAACACTCCTAACAAAGACCCTCAATGGAAAAATTAACTACAGATAAAGACATAAATAAATAAATAGGAACTGGCACTATAATATCAATGGGAACATAATAAAAGAACAACAGAAAAAGTAACGTTCCAGCATTCTGAAAATAATCAGCCCAGGAGATAATATCTCAGGAGGGTTTGTTTTTAAATCCGAAAAGGAAAAACCGTTACCCAGAGCCTGCTTCTACACACAGAGGGAGGTTTCTGAGGCTGGATTGTCACTCTCAGTTCAGATTCTCTGTATTGAGGAGCCTTCAGGAGATGGTGCTATTTGCTCCAAGGGTCCCTTTGGGCAGCCTGTGGTGTTCTCCTGGATAAAGCCTGCCCTCTCCTCAGCCTCCTTCCCCTTCTTCCCCCACCTCCAGGCAGCGTCCTGTTTGAGGGCAGCTGCCAGCCGATTAATGAGTCCCATCCTTCATAGCCTATTAAACCACAGGGAAGTGTCTCCTGGGCGCTCTTATCCTCACGACAGCAGGTCTGACGCAAAGTAGGACAAAAGAGAAACCTCTCCCAGAATGGAAATCTATAGATGGCACCAGCTCTCAGTATCTGAAAACACAAAATCAGAACTTGTTAGGCCAATGAGCTACTTCTCCAATATCCAGACTCACAGAAGAGATCACCATATATGATAAATCCTAGCAGGGAGATAATCAAAATGGAAACAAAACAAAAGCCTTTTTTATTTTTATTTTTTTGAATAAGTTGTGTAATTATCTTTCTTTTTTTTTGAAAAAGAGCAGCTTTACTTTTGCAGATGAGTTTAGTTTATTTCTGAAGATGATTGCGTTCTTTCCCTGATTTCATACCAGTCCATGATACAAAAAAGACCCTAAAATGTGCCCAGTGCAGGCTGTTTCATCTTGGCTTAGATCAATTTCTGTGAGTTCTCTAAGGGAGAAATAATCAAGAGTTGTTTAATTATGGGGTAGACCTCTGAGAGGCTGGAGGATTTATTTCTTTCAAAGGAAAGCTATACCTATTTTCATGCTGTAAAGATTGGATGCTCATGTCACCTGACTGTTTGAAGGGACCACGCCAGGTTGAGAGCTGTATTTGTAGGTTTGTCTGATTTTCTGTGCTGTCCGCTGTCCAGTTTAGCATTAGAATGGAGGACATTTCCTGTTGCCTTAACCTTGAACTGAACAAGATACTTTTTACCCCTTCTACTGTTGTTGTTGTTGTTAAGTGCTGTAGAGTCGGTTCCGACCCATAGTGACCCTGTACAGGTTTCCGAGGGTGTAAATCCTTACGGGAGTAGAAAGCCTCATCTTTCTCCCGTGGAGAGGCTGGTAGTTTCGAACCGCTGACTTTCAGGTTCGCAGCCCAATTCGTAGCCACTACGCTACCAGGTTGAGAGCTGTATTTGTAGGTTTTTCTGATTTTCTGTGCTGTCCGCTGTCCAGTTTAACCTTGAACTGAACAAGATACTTTTTACCCCTTCTACAGTTCCTTGAAATTCAAGCTCTTCCTCAAAGAATTTAGAATCAAATCATCAGTTGTCCATTCTGTTGTTGTTGATTTTAATATTCCATGACTCCCTTGGGATTTTCTCAAAGACTGAGTGGACCCAGCTTCTCTGGTCTCATCATGTAGCTCTTGGCCCATCAGCCTCTCAGCCCATCAGAAATGGTGCTTATCTTAGAGATAAGGAACATTGATTATTTTCTTTCCTGGAAGGACCGCTCTTTTTGCTTCTTTTAATCTCCCTTTCCTCACCCTCTCATCCACCGTGCATCAAAATGCTGCCATCACATTTGCACCCAGAAGTAACATGGGCTTCTGAGACACTGGAGAATTCAAAATGCATGATGCCACGGCTGAATCAATAATTTCCATTCTCTACCACAAATGAAAATTTAATGTGCAAACCTGGGGATTTCAGGCCTTTCATTAAAGCAGTTTATTTGCCATACTAAAAATTAAGCTTGAGTGATAGGTGCCTTTATTAACTTTTCTTCTATTTCCTAAAGGGACACAGTGTTTAAGGTAAAAGTCATATCGAAGGGGTGGGGGTAAGAGAGAAAACAAACCCTTTTTTGTCTGCTGTTAATAGTCTCATCATTTATTAATTTCTTAAAATTGCTTTCTTGCCTTTCAAGCCATTGTTTACCTCTGCTTCCGTTTGCTTTCATAAGTGACATGAGATTTATCTCTTTACTCTGACTCCCATATAAGAATAGATAACAAGCCTCTCTGGAAAAACACAAAACAAAATAAAAAAACAAGTATCTTCTTTGGAAGCATGCATTACAGAGATTTTCTCAGAACCATCTAGCTTATGTTTGTAAACTTTAGTTAACTTTGTCCCTACTTCTCACATTTCTGAAGCATTTCCCAAGTGGTATACATGCAAGGAAGCCCTGATAGCATGACAGTTAAAGCTCTCGGCTGCTAACCCCAAAGGTCAGTGGTTTGAATCCAGCAGTTGCTTCATGGGAGAAAGATGTAGCAGTCAGATTCTGTAAAAATTGTTACTGTTATTGTAAAGAGTCATCGAGTTACTTCATCACTCATAGCGAACCCTGTCTAGGGTTTCCAAGGAGCAGCTGGTGGGTTTGAAATGCCGACCTTGTGGTTTGAAGACCAGTGATGATCCTATAGCGGCCACCTCAGGAGTCCTCTGTAAAGATTACAGCCTTGGAAACCCTATGGGGTTGTTCCACTCTGTTCTATTGGATCTCTGTGAGTCAGAATTAACTCAGTGGTAATGGGTTTGGTTTTTTAAGATATGTTTAAGATGCACTAGTTTAAACCCAATGGACAAAATATGTGCTGTCAAACAGAGAGTTGACTCTTGACTTTGAAGATTGCTGTTTAAAGGCTAGATTTCTTGATTTGGGATGTAAATGGAAAGCCTGAGGGGACGGTGGAGACTCTGGAAAGCTGTAGAGAACAGCAAAGAGGGTAGCTACTGATAACCCTATACAGGGTCACTATGGGTTGGAATCGATTCTACGGCACTTAACAATAACTGGTAACCTCAAGGTCAGCAGTTTGAAACTACAAGCTATTCCATGGGAGAAAGATGAGGCTTTCTGCTCCCATAAAGATTTACAGCCTTGGAAGCCCAATACAGGGTTGCTAGGAGTCAGAACTGACTCCACAGCACATAACCACCACCACCACCACTCTTCAGCTACTGCTGATTCTTTAAACCCAGATTGTTGCCAGATCTTTCAGTTTCTCAAGGGTAACAGAAACCTGAATTTGTTTAAGATATGCTAAATCTCCTGATTTTAAAAGGTTGGCAACCAATTCACAAAACTCTAAAGCATTCTGTTAGTTGGGCCAAACAGAATTTTCATGGGTGATCCGTAGACAAGTTTGCAGCCTCAGACCTTAAATGTACATGTAATTACTGCAGGGCTGTGAGCTGAAGGACAGTGTATGCTCCTAGAAGGCTCCCCCAGATGGCGACCCCTGTCAACCAATAAGTATTTCGCCTTTAGTAAGGGAGCCATATGTGACTGTGTATAAATCCTGAGCACGTGTGGAGGGCAAGGCCAGGTCTGTGTCCTCAAGAAGGCATAAGCTAGCTCTCTAAGTACCTAAGCAGAAAGGGATCCTGATGCATGTAGTGACGCCGCAGATGGTTGGTGTGGGTCGTGAATGCAGAGGAACATGGCAGCACAGGTTCCTACTTCTCACCTTGGAGATCAGGTGCAAAGAGACGAAGATGAAGTGACGTGTCCAACACCACACAACTAGTCAGCACTGAACCTGGAGGTAGCATCAAAGGTCCTGTCGTGGATTCTACCAGGAAAAGCTGAGCTGCTCAATGTGTGAGCATAGGCTTCAAAGGGCATAATAGCAGTAACAGTCCTTTATATTGAGTGTTTACTCTGTGTTCAACACTATTCTAAACCCTTTAAATTCTTGTTATCATTTAATCCTAGAAATATCCTTGGGGATAGGTGCTGTACACATACAAACTCTAATGTTTAAAACAGTCCTGTAAGTAGGTGCTATTATCTCCTTTATATAAATGCACACACTGAGGCTCAAAGAGGTTAAGAGACTTACCCAGGATCACACAGTTAGTGAGACTTAGAGTACGAAAAAATGTTTTAAAAATAAATCTCTGGCAGTAGGTTGTAAGTGTTGAAATGTCACACTGCCTGTTTGCTCAGCGGCACGTGCATTCTGTGAAGGTGCGTGGGTGTGTTTGGCTCTGTGCACAAGCATGCTCACATACACCAACACAGGTTATATACTCCTTGGCACAGGAAGGAAATTTCAAAAAAGCAAACAAATGATTGAGTGGCCCTTCCAGGTGCTTCAGTAAACAGGCTTGTGGTTCTGGGCTTCTGCCATCAACCACGGTCCCACCTTGCTTCGGATTGTTTCTTTCCAGCAACAGATTATTTCTCAGACCTCTGTTTGCAGGCTCTGTGCTGAGGTCTTGGATTTAGATACACCAGAGATAGCAGTGTCTTGGACATTCTCTCACCCACGTGTGT